AAAGTTTAAAGAATCATGACCGGTTCTAAAATAACATTTATTTGACCCTGTCACCTTCTTGGCGATGGGTGAAAAAAAAGTTGTTGTCTTAGACTAAGGTCTCCCTTGTCCCCGGGCTCTCACACACTCTAATAGGTAGCTGGATATTTTCTGACAAGTGGACATCTGACCGGGAGGTCTATTTCAACTTCCACCTATTGGTCACACAGGCATGTAATGGGAAATATTTCCCAAAGAGATAACACTGCCTAGCCTCTCCACCCCAATCCATAAAGCAATGCATGACAACATGACAATGTGTAACACAACATTGACCCTACGGACACAACAAAGGTTTAACTGACCATTTAACTGCCTGCAAAACTGACCACTATTTCTATTTTTACCTTAAAATGACCGTTGCAGCTTAGTACAGAGTATATACTTATTTCAAACTTTACTGAATAAAGAGACACCACTTTGGACTTCCAGAAGGTAGTCTCCAGATCACCGCCTTGACTATTATATCTTTTTCTGACCCTCCCAACTCTAGACTGATGCTCTATTAGTTGACCTACCGCGCCAACCAGTTCCACTACATTCCCCACAATTTTCTAAGTGCATGTTCACCTCCGAACATTATACTATTTAGAACCCAGGTTCGGCTATCTCCCCTTACCGGTTTCACCCAGTACTTGAAACAAGCATTGGTCACAGGCACCAAATTTGTAATAGGAGCAGAAAAATGCATGGCAAGACTGGGATTCGAACCTTGGACCCTCCAAACTCTAGACGAACACTCTACCAATTGAGTCACATGGTCACCGCCGAATCACCCAATCCAGTTCAGCTGCAGAGGTTGCATGTCTGAGATGAGATCTGGCCAGCACTCTGACAGGAGTATGTGACAGTTCAGGTAGGTACATGGAGACATCAACCTTATGTCACACCATCCTATATATATCATCAATTAACAACCCTTGGTTATATTTCTAATCTGAAAAGCTATTTAATAAAGAACGGAAATCAACTGTGAACACTAGTATATTTGATGAGAAGTCAGTATATTTAGATTGCCGTCCTAGTTACGTAACGTTGCCGTCCTATTTACGAAACATTTACACCTGTCTATACTGGATAAAATGTTGATACCTGCTTGTCAGTCTCGACAAGTTCAAAAGTATCATACATAGTCAAACCTGCAATAAGAGACCATCCTCAGTCAGGAAGTCCAAATATTGGTCTCTTTATTCTGGTAGCCACTTAACTCATTCACCCCTACATATTTAAACTGGACTTGCCCAGTCCTTGATTTGGTAAGGTTCAAATGTGACTTTAGGGGTGAACGGGTTAAGAATCCCTGTCTCGCTGCAATGCGGTATCTATATACACAGTAACCTCCCCTTAATTTCCGTTTCTATATAACTGTAGAACAGTTGAGAAAGTCCAAATTTGTTGACCAGGTAGCTCAATCGGTTAGAGCAACAGTATAACAATTTGAAGTCCGGGGTTCGAATCCCGGTCTAGCCCCACAGAATTTTTCACTCAATATATTGTTGTTGATAATATTTTATTTTATTTCATCTTTATTGCATTTCTCATAAAAGTCCTGTAAGGTATGTTTTTTTCTTCAGAAATGATTTATATTCTATAGTCATGCTGGAAAAAACAGTTTCCCACATTTAGTGACAGTTTGTGGCAGTGGTAGGGGGATCCTTAATACAGGTTCAGTGAACATTTAAATCTCTAAATGAGGCACGATAACATTTCCCTCAACACAGGTGGTCTTTTAACGCAAGTGGTCACAGGACCTAATTTTTAATTAAAAGCATAAAATAATGAGTGTATGTACACCCTTGGAAAACAAACACTTTTAAAAAGGCATCTTTTGAGCTGTTCTTTCAGTTGAAATCATCAGATCTGAGTAAAAATAGAAACAGTTTAACAAATTTACTGGTTGAAAATGCTCAATTTTAGTTTCCAAAATCGGGAGTGTCCCTCATGAATAGGGATAGGTGGCCAGTATGCCTGTCCAGGTAAACATAGATACCTTTTGATTCTCCCCCAACTGTTATAAGGATCATGGTTTACTATTTGGAAAAAATATTAACATTGGGAAAAAACCTGATTATCTTCCATCTTATGGCAGAAAAAAACAACTCTTCTTTGGGAGATTGACAACAATTTGTCTGTTTTGATGAATTAATTCTTAACCCTTTCACCACTGTAGACCATAATGGACTCATCCAGATCAATGCATTGTAGTCGACTAAAGTTACATAGGGGTGAAAGGGTTAAGTATTTTAATTGAGAACTAGCTGTTGAAAACATACCAAGTTAAAAGCATCATACATTAGCTATCTGATATTCTTTTATGATATAAAGTAAATAGAGTTTCCATTAGCTTAACTCATTCACCCCTGAAGACAAATTTGAACTCTTCCAATTCAAAGGTTGGAATATATCATTATGAAATTTCAGGGGAGAACGAGTTAATCACAGTTGCATAAGTCTAACTCTGAGATCAGAAGAATGACGTATCATGTTTTTCAGTTGAATCAGGAACTATACATTTTTATTAATATTATAACTGCATCCTTATGACTAGTTACCCGTTGCCCCCAACCTATCCCAAACCACTCACACACACACACTGAACGGCTCATATACAACATGCTGCATGAAACCTTCCACTGCACTGAGAATTTTCTCTCATGAAATTATGCCAATTTACAGCTGAATCCTGGAGTAGAATACCAATAAGCAAGTGTTGGTACAAACATGTTTCTCAATAACGATTAAACGGAGACAGACTGTAAAATATTGATTTTGAAACATATCGCTTCAGCAAACAGCTGCAGAAGGCATGTGTTTACTTACGTGCTACAGACGTTACTCAAAACACCGCTACACGCTGACAACTGCATGCGTACGAATGTCTACACACAATGCTTATAGATACATAATGTAGCAGAGTGGTAGGAAAACGTCAATAAACTAGGTGCACGCTTCAACATGTACAGCCCATTGCTATTGCTTCACACTGCCTGAATGACATTCTATATGCAGTCCTGCTGATCAATGGTCTAACGACTTGTAAACCTCATATTACATGCGGGAAATAAATAGAGGGGGGAGGAGAGGGAAACACGGAAAGAACGGAGACAAACAGGACAGAAGTTTTCTTCATTGTTTTTAATGTTTTTATAAAGATTGAAATACAGATTAAATTCTGACCATTTATAACAATGTGAAACCCATATTTTCTAGGGTTGCTATTTCCATTAGGCAACAACAATGAACAGAAATAATTTTGATTTTTTTTGTAAAGTTTGAATTTGAAATCACATTATGATTTGTCCTATCTACCCCACGTGTAATGAAAAGACCGAACCAGAGTTTCTAACTGTAAAACATGCATGTGCAGTTATTAAAGTATTATCATTTAATACATTTTTTAAGACTGTATGGAGGATATGTATATATAAAATATATATACCTCTCTATTTAGGTCAGTCATATATATGAATATCTCCATACAGGAAGTTTCAATAATCTAAGTATCGGAAGGTCACCTAAATGAACTCATTCACCCCTGAAATTTCATAATGGACTATTTCAACCTTTGAATCTGAAGAGTTCAAATGTGTTTTCAGGGGTGAATGAGTTAGTATATATCTCCAAATACAGGACACCTCAATGTACAAAAAAAATCTCAATGTAGAGCATATTCAGTCTCTATTTCTGTCGAACATATAATGACATAAATAATACATTCTAGATAATCAAAACCAATTATTTTCACATGAACTGAGATCCAAATCACGCAAAAATGGAAATAATATTTGACATAATATATATCTAGTCCATTTTACTATCATTATTCAACGATGTTAAGCTTTCGTTGTTAGAGTTGTCAAAACAATGTTCATTGTTACCATTTTGTGACGTTTTGAAAATGTAACCCTTTCACCTCTATGTAACTTTAGTAGACTCTACCATGCATTTATGGGGATCATTATGGTCTACGGTGGTGAAAGGGTTAAATAACTGAACGCTATAGATATACATCGAAGACATGAATAAAATCTTGATCAAGATCCTCTTTCATACGAAGTTTAAAAAAGACAGTTTTAGAAAAAGGTGTCACTTCAGCAGGACTCAGTCAAACTAATGGACAAGTATCATAAGTTTCACACACATGAAATCAACACAAATTCAAGGCCTTTTTTGTCACACATTACCATATAAGAATATTCATGAATAACATGTATTTTTCAGACCACAGTCAAACCTTCCTTCAACATCCCTACGTAGATTTCATTTCTTATAACGCCCTCGATGCATTATATGACGTTATGTCTATTGTCATAATTCTGACGTCATGATGAGTTTTATAATGTTGGGTAATACACAAAATATATATATATTATATATATAGCTTAATAACATCTTAATCCTCTAGTAATTCAACGACTTATTGAGAGAAAAAAATTGTGTAGGTTGTGACAAATCAATATCCACATTTAAGAAAATAATTGCTTGTATTGAACAAAAACATGATCAGTCACAGGCTTTTTTTTCTTTGTGGTATTCAATTACCTTAACCCACATGTTTCAATAAATCTATTTGGACTTCAATTCCATTCTTTTTAATTAAAAACCAAATGAATCCCACAACATGAGACCAAAATCAGAAATTAAACCTCTTGTTTAATTAACAGAGAGGCCTTGAATTCTCCTTGTGTGTAAATCATTTTCAAAAAAAGTCCTCACGATTGTAAATAAAATAAAATGAAAATAAAAAAAAATATGTACAGGAGCATCAACTGTGGTATTCAGGTCAAGTAGTGTTCAGGATTATGAACGGTAAGCATAGAATTACAGCGCGCTTACCGGGAATACACTGAAGCTAGATGTACATATACATTAATACCTACAAGGAAAGCTACATATTAATGAAGCTCTCACATTAAAACATGGTCGACAATGGATCATACCGACAGGCCAACAAACTTTACCCGAAAAAGCTGGGTGCTCATTCCTCCATGACGATGGGTCCCTATAGCTGCATGGCCAGGTCTTACAAAGGTCACGCTTGTACGCTAATATTACCTGGCTAAACATTTACATCACTATGACCGACCCTTCATCCCCTCGACCCCTTCAAATCCACGACCCCTCATCCCCCCGAGTTTCAGGTTACGCAGGGCCAGTATAATTCACCATTAATAAAAAAAATAGCTATCGCCACTGCAATCACATCTGTAAAGCATAAATATTGTTATCTTACAATTTTCTTGAAAAAGAACATGGCTTTGATATAAAATTCTTTTAGATTTCTTCACCATATGTAAATTTATATCACTGAAGCAAGTCATTACAAAAACAACGGCATTTTTTTAATTTTTTTTTTAAATTTTCCTTCTGTGGGCCCCTCCTGCCTGACAATGTAATGCTATGTAAGTTGGGAAAATGTGCACACTTGATTTGAGGTCGTCCATGCGTGACCCTGCCTTGCTACATTGGTCTAACTCACGCATAGGCTCTGCATTGTATGTAGTGGGGGTTAGCGACTCCCATTCATACTGGGGACTGTGAGAGCTATAGCCCTCTCTGGCCGTGCCAGCTCTGTATATATACCTAAAAGGTTTCACCCTATCTTCAGCCATTATAAGAGCTTGTGCACACAACATGCACATGTTCTTAGCAACCTAAACCTGTCCCCTAGTCTTCTCTCCGAGATAAGCTTTACAGTGTAAATCTGTTTACAAATGCCACACTACAAACACTGACCATCTAGTCCTTAAATACTCTGTACACGAATACCACCACACATTTCATATGTTGACATGGCATGCTAGCTGTGGCACATATACGCAAGTAATTTACATAAGATTTAAAATATCAAAATTGATATCCTAGTTGCAAGTTTACATGTAAAACAATGAGGCCTGAATCAAGTGAACAAAGAGCATGTATATGTTTTGAACTCCTGTATAATCCATGAAGTTCATTGCAGAACGGAATTTAGCAAGACCGAACATTTACCAAATTACTGCAAATGTACAACACCTGTTATGCCTGGCCTGTGTGTTTACTTACATGGCAAAGATAAAACAGTACATCCTGCAACGATTTCCCTTTAAAACCTCCCCCGTTTTAAAATTCCAGTATAAGTTGGATTTGTAATGTAACTCACTGAAAACCATGGCTGTCGGACACACCTGGTGCAGCAATGGCTAACACACTGCTACAGCCTGAGCTCCGGTATAGTGCAGAGCCTGCATGTGTTATGTACGGACACATAACCCACATGTGTACTGCTTACCTAGATACACTGTCAACTGGGGGAGCCCTCGCTCCTTCACCGCATGGGACTGCATACGGCACACCACTAGTTATCAGGGGACACTGGCTACTCTTTATACCAGCAGTACAGCCACTCTTAAAACTCTCTCCACAGGAATGTGTTGCGTAGCGGCTACTCAACGGTTTATCTACTTCACTATACACCAGAAATTGTTGCCTGTTTTTGACCTATTTTCACTGGGCCCTGCTGTTTAAAAATAGGAAGAAATTGACATATTAAATACAACCTCCCTGCTACTGGATGCTAAGGGGAGGGAACTACTCACTGCAGGATGATGACTGTGCTTGATGATTGTGCTTCCTCCTCCGTTAATAAAACCATACACACTCTCGGCACATAGCTGAAATTTTGATCCTTAGGTTTGAAAAATTTGTATCCAAATGGTTTTGTCGATTAATTATGCTCAGGTGGCTGAAATCAGTGATGCCCTGCAGTGTTTTAAATTTCTTCACCACACATGTAACTATGTCAATACACCTATCATCACTTTATAAACACTTTTTAAAAGTTCATACACTTACACACATCCACTTGAAGTTTTGATTCACAAGTTTTAAAATTTGTTAATTTTTTAAATAAGTGAAATGTAATTATCAATATTATTATGTATTTTTTTGCAAAATTCACTTTTGAAGAGGTATACACAATATGTGTTTATGATAAACTATACGCTGAACACCTGTGCATCGTATACTAAAGCTGAGATGTATGATGCATCACAACTACGTGTTACACATTTATAACACTGCAGGTGAATGTACTCTTCTCTCTAACGAGCCTCGACACGTTTTGTCTATTATCATTCGTAGAACAACGCGCCTGGCCATGCAGAAACCTGCAATTGCTGCACGCTTGATGAAGTATGCTGCAGCTACGAGATTTAGACTGTAGACCTCCGCACAACAGCGCATAAAACCCGAACAATAAAATTACTATACACACGCAACCTAATACATTATGCATTGTCCCACCAGCAAATCAGGACAAACAAAGACCTCGTCAACAAGGGTATCTATACACATGCAACTTATACACATGGTTTTGTTTGCCGAGCATAACAAATTGTTCGGATGATAAATAGTCCGGGTGTAGAATTACCAAAGACCTAAATGTCACATAGTCACATACATCTGGAAATCAGATCAGCGTATATTGTTTGGCATGTTAAATGGCCAGATAATTCGTGACGATAAGAATGAAAAAGATGTCAAGCACTGCACATGCTCGCAAACAAAACCAGTTCAATTAGCATATATTGTACATTTATAATTACAAAGATGAAACAAGCTTTACAATCAATTATTTGAGTTCAAAAATAAATTTTGCCTGTAAATGAAATCTATAATCAAAATAATATTTACAGAACAAATAATGCACATATTTGAATTAAAAAAAAAATAGCCTGCAAATAAAATCAATAATCAAAATAATATTTACAGAAGTACAAAAAGAAAAAAGAAAAAAGAAAGAAATTTAACCTGCAATTAAAATAAATAATTAGAATCATCGTAACAAAAGTACAATTAGAAAATATAATAGAAAAAAAATAAAAATGAAATAATTACAACCTTATTTACCCAAGTACAAATAGAATACATGAAAAATATATATTTACAAATATACAACTGGTACACACATTGACACACAACATTACAATAAAGTGTTGGATTATTTTTTCTTCCAGTGTAACAGGAATGTACACAAAGGAACAGCTTTGAAGAGCTGGTGTAAACTGTGTGGTTTACATGTCCAAACGTTCAGTTTGAACAGGTGGAACAGGTGGAACTGCTTTACAGGTTTTTAGGCTACAATGGGTTCACTTTATATTATATAGACAGGAAACATGGTCAGAAATTACATTGGGACTTCTCTGATGGTCTGGTTTATACAGGTTTATATATTCTAGTGTCCAGATTGGACAGGTGATATAGTATGTAGTTGGACCTCATTGATGGTCTGGTTTATACAGGTTTATATATTCTAGTGTCTAGATTGGACAGGTGATATAGTGTGTAGTTGGACCTCATTGATGGTCTGGTTTATATAGGTTTTTATATTCTAGTGTCCAGATTGGACAGGTGATATAGTATGTAGTTGGACCTCATTGATGGTCTGGTTTATACAGGTTTTTATATTCTAGTGTCCAGATTGGACAGGTGATATAGTATGTAGTTGGACCTC